ACAGAGCCATATACCTTCATCCCGTTTACCCAGCGCTCCCCAGAAGGCTAACACCTGCTCAGAACAAAACACCAGGTCGGGCGGAGGAAGATACACAGCGCCGACAGCCGTGAGCTAAGAACGTGGAAACCATCTGGAGGCACACAGACGACTTAACACACCTCATAGAGGCGCCCGCGAGGACGTGAGCAATTCAAACAGCCACTAAAAATCGGCTGACATGCGATTGAACACACCTACTGACATAAGTAGGAAAATAATCACCACGCTGTGACGCTCGAAGCGAGAAGGCGTTTGAAACGTCAGCTAAAGTACAGCTTCCTCCCAGAAATTGTCCCTTCTTCCCCTCCCGGGGATGGTGAAATGAATACTGTTTCGTATGTTTGAGCTGTCTATAATTGAGTTGCCCGCATCTTCTCTCTTTTAGGAGCCATATCCAGTGTGCGCGCTTTGCCTCAAGAAAAGAAGGTTCCTGGCGACCTCTGGCGCGTGGGCTCTGAAGGCCACAACCAAGAAAGTGGATGTAAGTTTCGCTTAATTTCCTACATGTTAATCAAGGCCTTACATGCACAGATAAGCTGAGCAATTGAGATTTTCCCGGAAATAATCAGTCGCCATGGGTGCGACCATGATGCCGAATCGGGCTGAAGTACGGACGTGATGGACACGGCAGTCGGACCGGCTAATACCCCGAGTATATTTGATAGGGCGTAGTCCACTGTGCTTGAATGCACTGTGTGGCGTGGCGTGAACTTATTTTACATCTTAGTCTGCAGTGAAATATTTCTAACAATTAGTTTAACGAAATGTGACTTGAAATTTTAGAATATATTCGTCTAATTTCTATTTTTGACCCTATATGTGAGAAAATTCAGTAAGACAATGTTTTGACTGCGTTATCTTTTACCGGCCCTAAAACAAACTCCCGATGTATTATCGTGTAAATGATGGTTTAATCCAAATGTTATTGAATGTAAACCACGTACAAATATAATTTTATGTACACTATCATATCCGATTATGCGTTACCCAGAAACGGAACAGACAGAAGAAAACGAATTCAAGTAGAATCAAGGCATCCTTTGTCCGCTTAACTGGAAGGTTTTAGTGGGAGTGAGGAACACTAGTTCAGCTGAATTTTACGTCCCCTACCATTCGCTGCGTTACCAACGACCTTGCTATTATTGATTCTGTGATTATTTAAAGTGCCATGTTCTCCAATTGTTATCTTATTTAAAAAATCAGTTTTGGCAAACATGTTTTCGACACATCTTCATCAGATCACTAACTTCGCAAAACACTTAAATTTTGAACGTGTTGAACAATAAATAATTGTCTGACGTGGGCGCCGATTGGCCACTACGAACTATGTCAATGCGCGCAAGTGGACGAGGTCGGTGTGTAAGGTTAGGTTGTGGACACTCGTAAGGGGTCAGATGCGCAGAGTGATCACCGACATTTGTATGTAGCGAGCGACTGGCAATAGTGGGTGGGGGCGACGTGATCTCGTCGCCTGGCGTCGGCATCGGCCACGGCAGAGAAAGGCCTGATATTAGCGTTTTCCTACAACGCAGCACTTTATTCGTTAGCCGTATAGCCAATGCTTCAGCTGTTACAAGCAGCCCTTGGCGTACGCATTTGGAGAAGTTGGTTCGTGTATGGCAGACAACCCGAAAGCCTTCATTATTATCGACCCGGGGATTCGTATCGAGGTGTTCGAGGAGAGAGTTCGAGATCAATTAAGTCTCAGCTTTACTTAACTAGGTCAGAATTTGTTCACGTACTTTCTTTTCCAGGTGCCTCGTTGTTCGACTTATATATTCTGCTCCACAAGGGCAAGTGAAGGAGTAGATTCTGATCCCTGGACTATTCATGCAAAGCTA